CCCCCCCCCCGGTTCCTGGTACTGGTACAAAGAACTTTCCCGTTCTTTGGTAATTTATGGTTTCACAACAAACTTTCTGCCCTACAGCCCTCTTTGAAAACATCTTTGCTCCTCTAATAAAAGAATCACACTGATGAACTGTATTTGCTTTCCTCCTACACCGCACACGGATGAAAATCTATCCCCTCTCTGAAAGCTCTTCCTAAAAGAAACGAGCCTTCCTCGGGGCAGCGGGAACCGGCTTAAGGAACTCACGACAGGCCGGGGTCGGCCTCCCACCCTCGCCCGATCCGAGGATTCCCGGGCCTCGCAGGACCCAGTCCGTCGGGCTCCCAGACACGTTTCCGAGCAGCCCCTCCTGACGCCCCCGGCCCCCCAAGCTCGGTGCAGGACTCGAACCCGACCGCAGCAGCGCCGCCCGAACTCACCCTCCTCGCCCGGGCCTGGGGCGGCCCCGAGCAAGTCCCGGGGGTAGCGGCCATGGCCTGCTGAGCGCCGCGCGGCGGAGCGGCCGAACTTCGTGCGCGCGCCAGGACCCCGCGCCGCGAGCCGCCCCGGACGCGCGGGCTGTGGCTCGGCCGGGCCGCCCCGCTCTCGTGCCTGGCGGCGCGGCTGTGGCAGGGGTCGCAGAGCGCTCTCGGCCCGAGTTCACGCTTGAGGCGTGCTTGGGAAGCTTCTGAGGAACGAGAGGAGGCCGAGCGCCTCCACCCGACGTGTCCCTCCTCCGTCGCCGCGTTGCTCTCTTCAGGAACTCTCCAGTAGCTCTGGGTCCGGGAAGGTCCCTAAAATCACCCGGGTTGGTCGCCAAGAGAGGGAGTCCTCGAGGCTGCTCGACCCCTCTCCCGCTCGCGGCAGAGGCCTGGCGCGGCAGTTCGGCCCGCCCCTGAGGCCCGTTTTCTAGACAGGCAGTGCCTTGGCCACCTGGCAGGGCGGCGTCGCCTGGTAACGGCCGGGTCCTTCCTGGCTCGGCGGCGCTCGGGCCTGAGGGGAGAAAACCGCGGCGGAGGGCGCTGGGGGCGGCGGCCGAGGTGTAGGAGGGTACGCCTGGGGGGGCGACGGGGACTCGGCGCGCCCCCGGAGGCGAACTCTGCGCCTCCGCCTCCGGAGAGATGAACACGGCCGACAAGGCCCGGCTGGGGCCCGCGGCCGACGGGCCTGTGCCGCCCGGCGAGGAGGAAGGCGAAGGGGGCGGGAAGGAGCCGGCGGCGGACGCAGCCCCCGGGCCCAGCGCCGCGTTCCGCCTCATGGTCACTCGGCGGGAGCCGGCTGTGAAGCTGCAGTATGCGGTGAGCGGCCTGGAGCCGCTGGCCTGGTCGGAGGACCACCGCGTGTCGGTGTCCACGGCCCGCAGCATCGCTGTTCTGGAGCTCATCTGCGACGTGCACAACCCGGGCCAGGACCTGGTGATCCACCGCACCTCGGTCCCCGCCCCGCTCAACAGCTGCCTCCTGAAAGTAAGTCCTCCTCCGGCCGAAGTCCTGGGGTCTCCGGCCGAAGTCCTGGGGTCTCCGTCCGCCCCTCCCTCCCGCCGCCGCCGCATCACGCGTCCCCGGGCCAGCCCGGTCCGCGCCTGGTTCGGGTGTTCCCCAGGCACCCTGCGCTCCAGTGCTTTAAAACAAACAAACAAACCAAAAAACCTTGCAGCTGTTTGCGCACGATCACCCAGTGCCAACACACAGACACGTCCTGCTCCCTCAGCCCCGGAGCCGGGTCCCGCCAACCCTTCTTCGCGCTGCTCTGATTGCTCTCGGTGGAGCTTTCTGAGACTCCACCCCCTGTTGACCCAACCGGGGACCTGCCTCTACCTCTGCTTCTTTTGTCTGGGCCCTGCTCCCGAGGCCCTTAGCTGGTTTTGTTTACTGTGTTGTGTCTTCTCGCGCCTCTTTTGCTTTGGAGAAGGAATACCGCTCTGTTCTATTGTTTGTGAGTGACCCTTGTGCCTCATTTTGGGCTAAGAGGTAAATAGTGGCTCTCGGGTTTGTACTCAAGTTTTTCTTCACTAGTTAAACGTCTTTGAGATGTAGAAAGAAAAATGAAGCCTCTGGACACAAACGTAATGCTTAAACGTCCAAGATCTCTGTGAATTTAGGACGTTGAACCTCATCTAAGTTTGCCTCAGAACTTTAGAGTTTCCAAAGTTTAGAGTTTCTAAAGTTTTGCTGTTTTAGTGTATGTGCTGCCGAAGCGAGCACAGTTTTGCTGTTTTAATAGTTTTCAAATTCAGATTTTAAAAAGTGATAACATCGTTCCTTTTAGTAGCTTAAACGTAGAAAAACTCCCCGCATATCTTTCATAGACGTTTATGTGCAACAGTATGTGATGTGTCAGAGCGTGTATTCACTCATCGGTGAATGGTTAGGTGCTGGTTTGTGTTCTGGGAATAAACCACTGTACAAAGCAAAGTCCCTGAACTCATGAAGTTTACATTCCTTGATTTCATGAACAAATTATCAGGTAGTGATAATGCTGTAAAACTATGTATCCATATACAGGGAATGAGTTTCCTTGAAAGTAAAGTTTTTCTGAACTCTTTAACTCTGGACAGCTGTTTTAAAATCTGGATCATGGGGCTGGGGATGTAATTCAGTGGCCCTGTGCCTGCCTAGCAAGCACAAGGTCCTGAGTTCGATCCCTGGTGTGTGTGTGTGTGTGTGTGTGTGTGTGTGTGTGTGTGTGTGAGATAAATAAATAAATAAATAAAATCTGAGTCGTTAGTCATGAGTGCTGATAGTCCTCATCATTTTTTAGTGCATTCAATTCCAGTTTCAAATAAAACTTGATGTTGAAGTAGGTAATTGGGAAACTTGTACGACTAAGCTCCCTAAAATACTCTTGAAGAAGATATGAATGAATTGGTTCAAGTATAAACAAATCAAGTCGATAGATGCTGGCAGTGCTGTAAATTGAGACAAGTTCAAGATGGGAGGCAGCAGAGATTGTTTTAAAACACCCTCCGTTCCCTCCCCCAAAGGGGGGTTATCTTCTGTTGAAAAGGAACTATTTCCATGGATGTTCATAAGCACACCAATATAAAAATAGTGATTTAACAGTAAGTTACAGCCAGGCATGGTGGTGGACATCTGTAATCCCATCTCTTGGGAGGCTGAGGCAAGAGGATCACAGTGAGTTTGAGACCAGCCTGGGCTACCTCATGAGTTCAAGGCCAGCCTGAACTACACTGCAGACTTGTTTCAAAAAAACAAGAAACAAAAAAAAGAGTAAGTTACAATCGGTACAATTGGTACAATTAGTACAACTGGACTACTAATTTAGTATTCTGGGTACTGAACTGTATCCAGTTCCAAATTGTTTGTGTACATAATTGGAAAGTACATTGTTATTAGGAGTCTTAGGAAGTATTATCTTCATCTGCTACATTACATGACTATCACCTGTATCTGGAGGCGCATTCCCTGCCCTCAGGAAGCTTACGATCCACAAACTTGAGATGAGCTTTCAGTTACAGGGTTCTTACCAAAAGCTTAACTGTTAGGTGGCAACACAAGGGTGCAGTTAAAATGATTGACTTCAGGCAGGCCTCTGGGAACTGGACTCTATGTGGGATGCTCCTTGGGCATTGGAGTTCTTTTAATTCGTGAACTAGTTTTGTGATAAGGGAGAGTTGGAGGGAGGTGCAGTAGGGTAATTCAAGTGTATTAATATATTAGAAATTATTACACAAAACAATCAGGCTTCCCTTCTGGTCACAGTCTGTGCTGTTCTTTGTCTTGTCACAAGTTCTTCCTACAGTGAATGGGGTGGAAAGTTGCTCGAGCTTTCTTTTATGCTATGCTGCTGGTTTCGGTTACAAATTCTGTAAGTTTACTTTTGGTTCTACACTAGCTTTCATTTGTATGATTTTAACCTAATCTAAAGATTATTGCATATTTATAGTATTATAGGATATGGTAAACAATTTTATATCTACCCTTCAGTTGGTATACCACTTTGTACCTAGTCTGCACTTCACATACTTTATTGGGTGTTATTAATAGTTGCTTAGGGGCCGGGGACTTAGCTCAGTGTTTCTGTCGCCTGCTCCACAAGCCCAAGGACCAGAGTTCGATCCCTGGTCCAAAAAAAAAAAAAAATACTTGTCACTGAAATAAGTATACTTTGGCCGAGGATTTAGCTCAGTGATTCTGGCACCTGCCTTGAAAGCACAAGGTCCGGAGTTCGATCCCTGGAACCAAAAAACAAAAACAAAATAGTTGCTTAGTCCTCAGATAATACTCATCATTATAACTAACATTGAGCACTTACTAATACTTATTTTGCATATTCTGACTTACTTAACCTTCTTAATTCAGTGAGACATGAATTATCATTCTCTGTTAAAAGTGAGGAAATTAAGGCCAGAAAGTGTAAGCAATTTGCACACGGTCATGGATCAACCATGTAATAGAGTCATTTGAACCCAGGTAAACTGGCATCATAATACAGATTTTCAGTCATGGTGCTTCTTTATTTCTTGTTTCAAATCACATCTCCTCATACAGATCTCAGAACTTACTTCATTACCTAGCTTTGATTAGGTGCAATTTCCCTTCTGTGTTTTTCCAAAGGGTCTATAGCACGGGCAAAAGACTACCTTAAATGCCTTTAGAAATCAAGATATACTGCCTAAAACACCATTTCCAGAGTATTCCGTAAGGTCATAAAGAGCAACCATTTCCCAAAGGTGTACTTAAAAGTTTTTGGCTAACTCTAATTTTTTTTTTTGTACTGGGGATTGAACTTTGGACCCTGTGCCTGTGAGGCAGGCGGTGGAACCACTGAGCTTAATCCCTGGCCCTGGGTAACTCTGATTTTAGTGTATGTGCTGCCAAAGCGAGCACTGGCTAACTCTGATATAAAGTCCCTATAGAATTCCCTGGCCAAGGTATTTTGTGTGCTCCTGTGACTTTTCTAGGAGGAGTGAAGTGTAATGTCATTTCCTAAACTTATTTGGCCGTGCAGTCCTTTCAAGGGTTAGTTTAGGGGAGACGTGTTTTGTGAGTCATTTTAGGAAAAGTTAGCTGGCTCATTAACTTGGTGAGCAACTTTACATCTACCTTTCATTTTGCATGCCTTCTGTGATACCAGACAGTTTTAGTAAAAAAGAAGATAAGATTAGTCCAGTTATCCATTGCTAGTTTCTCAGGATCACTGCTCTCATTCACTGGTCATTTCTTACTATGTTGAGGAATTTTATTCCTACTTAGGTTTAACAATCTATGTATATTTACCATTTGGGGGATTTATTTTTTGTGTTTTGCAGTACTGGGGATTGAACACAGGGCCTTTGCATGGAGCTACATCCCCAGCTCTTAAAAAAAAATTTTTTTTGCGGGGAGCGGGGGGATTGTTTTGTTTTTTTGGTAACAAGGATCGAACTCAGGTCCTTGCGCTTGCGCAGCAAGCGGCGAAACCACTGAGCTAAATCCCTGGCCCCCCAAAATTTTTTTTGAGACAGGGCCTCACTAAGTTGATAAAGTATTTGCACCACTCTGGTTTTCTGACTTATCTCCAGTTGTCTAAGCTTTATTTAGATGTAGTTAGTGGTTTTGAGTTAACATTTTTCCAAGTTCTTTCTGTGTCCTGGAATGTAATTCTTTTTTGCTTGGGAACTTAAACTCATTTAAACTCATTCTTTATTATATCCATGTATGAGCATGCCTTACATTTGCATTCCCTTTTAATCATAGTGTACCCTTTCCAGTTTGAAGATCAGCTTCTATTAAAAAGGAGATTGACACTAAAAAGCATTTGAAAGGTTTTGTTTTCTTTCTTCCTTTTTTATTTTTTAACCATTTCTTTAATGACAGTGGACCCAGCAGGATCAAGTCCTTGCTTGCTACTTAAGAGAGACCACCTTTTGGTTGACCTCTGCCCTTTGTTTACTTTAACTTTCCCAGCTGTTTTTTTTTTTTTTTTGTACCGGGGATTGAACTTGGGTCCTTGCGCTTGCGCAGCAGGCAGTGAAACCACTGAGCTAAATCCCCAGTCCTATCCCAGCTGTTTCTTATGGCTGTGGTTCACTGTTTTTTAAAAGTCATTCATGTCTCCCTCCACCTTTCGTATCCCTTTAAAATCTTTTTAAAGGGCTCACTATCACAGCCAGTTGCTAGTGATATATAACCTGGAGAGGGGAAGTGAATGAAAACTAGAACGACCTCTGAAAGCCTCATAAAGAGGACTACACCTGCTAGGGTGGATGGGCTTTAGACAAGCAAAGGAGCCAGCGGGAGTAGGGGTGGAAATAGAGTCCTGTGATTGGAACTGTCTTGCTCCGTCACACAGGTGTCCAGTCTTTTGGCTTGCCTGGGCCACACTGAATAAAGAAGAGTTGTCTTGGAACACATAAATTATTTTATGAAGTAAGACAGCCAGCCAAGTTTAGTAATTAATTAAGAAAACGTGCAGGTCTGCTTAGTCTTCACAAGCACATGCATGTGGAGGTTGAAACACCATTATCGTAATCACTATTTTACTCACCAGGCTGCATAAGCACATGTAGTGTCTGTTAGCAGACATTTCTGTTCTATTGGCTGTGTGGCAGTTAGCACTGTGCTCACACAGCACTCCGTTTTCACCTATGAAGTCTGCTCGAGCACTGTGCAATTGACCTGTGAAAAATATCACCCCCAAAATCACAGAATAGTGTTAAAGGTGTACAGCCTGGGAGGCCACATTGCCAGCTGTCCAGGGCTGCATTCGGCCTGCAGGCTGTGCATTGGACACAACTGCCCGATAGCAACAGTTGGTGTTTGGTCTCAGCATCAGTTTTAATGAGATTGCAGAATAAAAAACCTAAAGTTGACATTTGTATTGCAAAGATATTGTAAAAAGTCAAAGATGAATATAGGTACACATTTTCATAAGTTTTTAACACCTTTATTTTCTGGTGACTTGCTCACTCTTGAGTCAGCTACATCTCAATTGCTTCCCTCAGGTCTAAGAAGAATGTGGGAACAGGGCTATGAATACTGACAACATTTATTCTAATCCTTTAAAAAACTACCGTTTCCTTGTGAATGTTCATTTAGTCTTTAGACACGTACTTGATCTTTTAAATGCATGCCATGATAAAAATGAATGGATTGATATAAAATTATTATATGTGACTCAGTTAATACAGGTGGATATTTATCTGTTTTTGTCTCTCATCCAAGTACTAACCAGGGCTGACCCTGCTTAGCTTCTGAGATCAGACAAGATTGAGTACATTCAGGGTGGTGTGGCCGTAGACTATCTGACCGTTTTCGTATTTCTCGTTTCCAGGTTGGCTCAAAAACAGAAGTTGCAGAGTGCAAGGAGAAATTTGCCGCCTCTAAAGACCCCACCATCAGCCAGACTTTCATGCTGGACAGGGTGTTTAACCCGGAGGGGAAGGCCCTGCCCGCGATGCGAGGGTTCAAGTACACTAGCTGGTCTCCCATGGGTTGTGATGCGAATGGCAGGTGCCTCTTGGCCGCTCTGACCATGGACAATCGCCTGACTGTCCAGGCGAACCTCAACAGACTCCAGTGGGTCCAGCTGGTGGATCTGACTGAGATTTATGGAGAGCGTTTGTATGAAACCAGTTATAGGCTCTCTAAAAATGAGGCCCCAGGGGGGAATCTTGGGGACTTTGCTGAGTTTCAGAGGAGACACAGCATGCAGACCCCAGTCAGGATGGAGTGGTCGGGCATCTGCACCACTCAGCAGGTCAAGCACAACAATGAGTGCCGGGATGTTGGCAGTGTGCTCCTGGCGGTCCTTTTTGAAAATGGCAATATTGCCGTGTGGCAGTTTCAGCTGCCGTTTGTAGGAAAGGAGTCCATCTCTTCATGCAACACAATTGAGTCAGGAATCAGCTCGCCTAGTGTTTTGTTTTGGTGGGAGTATGAGCACAACAATCGGAAGATGAGCGGCCTTATTGTAGGGAGTGCTTTTGGGCCCGTGAAGATTCTCCCTGTGAACCTCAAGGCAGTCAAAGGCTACTTCACGCTGAGGCAGCCTGTTGTCTTGTGGAAAGAAATGGACCAGTTGCCTGTGCACAGCATCAAATGTGTGCCACTTTATCACCCTTACCAGAAGTGCAGCTGCAGCTTGGTGGTAGCCGCCAGGGGCTCCTATGTGTTCTGGTGTCTTCTCCTCATCTCCAAGGCGGGCCTGAATGTTCACAATTCCCATGTCACAGGCCTTCACTCGCTCCCCATTGTCTCCATGACTGCAGACAAACAGAATGGGACAGTGTACACTTGTTCCAGTGACGGGAAGGTGAGGCAGCTGATTCCTATTTTCACGGATGTGGCATTAAAGTTTGAACACCAGCTGATTAAGCTCTCAGATGTGTTTGGCTCAGTGAGGACTCACGGGATCGCAGTGAGCCCCTGCGGTGCATATCTGGCCATCATCACCACCGAGGGAATGGTCAACGGCCTCCATCCTGTTAACAAAAACTACCAGGTCCAATTTGTCACTCTCAAAACTTTTGAGGAAGCAGCTGCTCAGCTCCTGGAATCTTCCGTTCAAAATCTCTTTAAGCAGGTAGATTTAATAGACCTAGTTCGCTGGAAGATTTTAAAAGATAAACACATTCCTCAGTTTTTACATGAAGCTTTGGAAAAGAAAATCGAAAGCAGTGGGGTCACCTATTTTTGGCGCTTCAAGCTTTTCCTCCTGAGGATTTTGTACCAGTCAATGCAAAAAACTCCATCGGAAGTCTTGTGGAAGCCCACCCATGAGGACTCAAAAATCCTGCTAGTTGACTCGCCTGGGACGGGCAATGCTGAGGATGAACAGCAGGAAGAGGGCACTTCCTCCAGACAGGTGAGCAAGCAGGAAAGGAGCAAAGACGGTGACACAGAAGACCCAGTGGATGACTCGCTGCCCCCCTCAGGAGACTCGGGGGGCCGGGAGCCAATGGAGGAGAAGCTCCTGGAGATCCAAGGGAAGATCGAGGCCGTGGAGATGCACCTGACGAGGGAGCACATGAAGCGCGTCCTCGGGGAAGTGTACCTGCACACCTGGATCACAGAGAACACCAGCATCCCCACCCGAGGGCTCTGCAACTTCCTGATGTCTGATGATGAGTACGATGACAGAACAGCACGGGTAGGTGTTCACTTAACCACTGCTGCAACTTTTGAAAAGTGCGTTCAAGAGACAAGTGGCCTAGATTGCGTTTCTAAGGCTCAGCTTTCATGTTGGCATTTTTAAAGTTACTAATAGGCGTGAGTTGCAGGGGAATAAATAGGAAACGTGGATTAATGCAGAGCACGCAGTTGTAGCATACAAAGAATGTTTTGATACATCCTCTCACCCGGGGCCTTGACTCATAAGCAGGGTTTGCCAGATGAGGTTTCCAGGCCATTGGGGTGGAGAGGGGGTAGTTTTCTATTTGAAAGGATTTGAGGAGGTCTGATTTTGGCCAAGAAGAGTTTATAAGCAGGGTGTGGTGGTGCACGCCTGTAATCCCAACACTGTGAGAAGCTGAGGCAGGAGAATCACAAGTTCAAGCCCAGCCTGGACAATTTGGCAAGACCCTGTCTCCAAAAATAAAAGCAAAAAAAGTGGGAGATGTAATTCAGTGTGAAGGCCCTGGCTTAAATCTCCAGCACTGAAAAAAAAATTTTATTTTTAAAAGAAGAGTTTATAAAGGGAAACATTATTATTTATGTGGCCTTTTTACAAAAACTGGGCATTGTCTTTATTTTTGTAGTAGGACAATCTTACAGTGTTGTCTACAATGTATTCCATGGAAATCAAGGTCCTAAGAGACCACTAGAGTTCCAAGCCTAGGGAATAGCATACTCTACTGCTCTGAAAGGCTCCCAGTGTGCATTCTTACTCGGCGGGTTCTGAGAATTGCTGCAGAAAAGAGACTGTTACCTTTGTCACCCCCGCTCCTTGATCAGGGAGTGTTCTGCAAGCTAACAGCTGCTAAGATCCTGAAGAACTCCTGAAATATTCAAAACCACAAAAGGCCTCTCCTTTTTACTCCAAAGATTGACATGTATTGCCTAAAGTCTTGTTTAGAATATTAATTGAAAACAGTAAATTCAAATATCTTCAGGGCCGGGGATTTAGCTCAGTGGTTCCGCCGCCTGCCTCGCAAGCGCAAGGTCCCAAGTTCGATCCCCTTTACCAAAAAAAAAAAAAGTAGCTCAAATATCTTCATCCCTAATGTTAAGTCATTCCCAAATCACTGTTCCACATCTTGTTGGAAATTGTGTTTGTACACCCCTGAAAGTATTTCCTGAGATGTTTCTGGTCAGGTTTTTGTTAATGTTTGAGAGATGTGTAGTCCAGGCCAGCCCCAGCCTTCCCAGGGGTGAGATTACAGCTGTGCATCGCCATGCCGGCTTGAAAAGTCGGCTTTGAAACATGGTTTCCTTGTGTTCTCAGTTCTTTGGAAGAATACAGTATTCTGGTTTGCACTGTGGCGCAGACTAGTTAGGATTATTATAAATCAGTGAGATATTAGCAAAAACATTTTGGAAAGTGGCAAGCTTTGTTCTCACCGGATTTGAATTTTCCTCTGGATGCTGTATGACTTTGGGAGCTGTGTCTAACGTGGCTGTGTGACTCAGCAGAGCCAGTTTAGAAACAAAGATTGCATCCTGCCCTTAGTTAGCAACCAAGTTCAAATTAAGACAATGCGTTTTGTGTCTACAAGTCTATGCATATGGTGAATTCCTCTTTAACCAAGGTTTCACTAGCACAGTAGTTATAAATTTTCTGAAGTTCTCTGCCTGCATCCTCGTACAGTTAGTTGTACTTCTCAAGCATTTTTCTTTTTTATTATCACCTTTCCCTGGAACATTTTTAGACAGCATTTTCTCCTAACTACTCCTGCCCATGAAATGTTAATACCACGCTCACATTGTGGTATTACAGTATAGTATCTGTTTATGTGCTTTATTTATATGTGTGTATATACTTTATATGTTTAAAAAATTAAGAATTTTCCATCCCCCAAGGAGGTCTGTCACTCCATTAGGAATGCGTGAGTCAGACTAAACAGCTGGTCTGCATATTCAAGGTTATTGGGAGCAAATAGAAGCAGCCCTTCCTTATGTGAAACTTAGGGACATTTCTTACGGAAGAGTCTGAGCTGGAGCTGGTGTTGTCACTGTACCACCATGAGGATGTTGGGCCTCTCTGGAAAAGATGAGAGAGCATGGTTGTCCTTGTTGTAAGGGACTATATGTGAGGCTTTTTGTTTTGTTTCGTTTTTGGTGGTGCTAGGGGTCAAACCCAGGGCCCTGGGAATGTTAGGCAAGTACTCTACCACTGAGCTGCTACACCCCGCCCAAATTCCAAAGACTAGAAAAACCAAAAAAGGCCAAAAGGTAATGGAATTTATATTTGTAAAATACATATAGAATAGGTAAGGTGGCTGGCTCCCCAACTTCTGAGCCACTATGAAACCCTTTGAAATCAAGTGAACTAATTTTAGTAAGTTGATCCAAAATCTTGTGGCTTCTTCTCCAAGAGGTTAAGTGTAAATGGATTCAAAGCTTGGAAGGACCACCATCTGCTAGTGAGAGGAGATGACCTCCAGGCCTCCCGGTGACAGAGCCAGTGGGGTGTTTGTTTGGCACAACAATGAAGTGGATGTTTTTCAGACTTTGGTTGTTAAGGAGTGCAATCAATATTAATAAACAGAGCAGACAAAAGCACAGCCAAAGTAGGGACAAGGCCTGGAGCCTGTGCCGTCGCCTGTCTCAGTGCCACCTTGCCTCCCAGTGGGTCGTGCTGAGCCTCTGCAGTGGGGTCCACGGGACCAGGTGCAACTGCTGGGCTGTGTCATCAGTCACGGGTCTTTGAGCCGCCAGAGGGGAAACTGTTTCTAAGTCCTGATTATTTACTTTGTAAATGTTTCTGAAAAACTGGACATTGTATTAGTGCTATAGAGTTAGCAGTATTCCAGATATATTTTGCCTATAATGATTATGAATTTCTTAAAGACAAAACATTGTAAGTAATAAATGCTTACTTCTCATAGAACTATGTTCCCAAGCAACTAAAACAAGGTGTGCAATAAAAGTTTGGTTTTTGGAACAAGCTTTCTCTTATGGTTCATGTTTGCCCTCCTGTCGCAGCTCCCTGAGTGCATTTGCATCACTCACTCATCCACACAGGTTGCTGGGTAGCAGGCCCAGCTTTGTCCGACTCCGACAGCAGGCTGGCACACGGAAGTGCACCTGTCCTGTCCCTGTCCGGCCCCCTGCTTCCTCTCCATCTTGCCTTTGTGGTAAGCTTTGCTCTAGGAAGCCCTGCGCATCCTCGCCTTGCTGACTGCTGTGTCTCACCAGGTGCTGATTGGACATATCTCCAAGAAGATGAACAAGCAGACTTTCCCTGAGCACTGCAGTTTGTGTAAGGAGATCTTGCCATTCACAGATCGCAAGCAAGCTGTCTGCTCCAACGGGCACATTTGGCTCCGGTAAGCCACCCTAAAGCTCCTGCCCCTCCTCACGGTTCAGTTTCGGGTTACACACATGCTGTAGTGTGTGTCTCGGTGATGTGTCGCCCGTGCTGTACATAAGGGGAAGCTGTTGCTCTGAAGCCTCGTGGTCTATCTCCATCAGTCTGGCTAGAGCAAGACAACCTTTAAGGACAGATTTAAGGCTTGTGTATGGCGGGGAGCTTGCTGGGTGTTTTTTGGTTACATTGAGGTAATAAGTTTTTAGATTATTACAGAATCCTATTGCATACTTATGCATTTTCTTGTTGAATTTCGTAATAGAAGATTTTAGGCTTCTTTTCCCATCACCTCAGTCTCACCTTTGAGGTAACCCTGCTTGCTCCCAGAGCATGGTGCTGCCTGGACTCTTCTTTTCTTCCTTCCCTACTGCCTCCGCTGATCCTGCCTTTTCCCCTGGCGGCTGAGTTGGACTATGCTAGCATTCTCCCCGTGGTCAGACGGCAGCTGTACTCAGGCCTGTGTCTCTCCCTGCAGTCCAGACCTGCGTGTCTAACCGCCTACCTGTGTCTCTGGAAGTTTCCAGGCCCTCCGCATGGAATCCAGCCCTTTCCCCCACTTGGCCTCTTCAGCCCTGGCCTGAGCCACTCATCCCTCACCCTGATGGCTGTAACTGCCTTACTGCTCTGCCACCTCCTTTCTTGGCCCCCAGTTTGTTCTCTGTGTGCTCATGATTGTGATCCTTTCCAGACTTGTCAGCTCCTGTGCCCCTCTGTGCGGAACTCTCCAAGGGCTCCCCACTTCCAGTGAGTGAAAGCTCAAACCCACAAGACTGAACAGATCGGGGCCTGTCTTCTCCTTGCTCTCTCTCTCTCAGCTCATCCGAGGTCAGATTCTCCTCCTTGCTCATGCACTCCAGGTGTACTGGCCTTGTCCCTCAGGTGCTGAGGTGCCTTCCTGCTGCAGGACGCCCACACTGGCTGGTCCTCCCTGAGCGCTCTTCTACCAGGTGGCCCTGTGGCTTCCTCTGACGGCCCTTTCTCCCTCCCCTTCCCGGCTACAGTACCTAAGGTTGTAGCACCTGCTGACATCTTCTCCTCTTCCAGTGCTCTGCATCCCTCTTCCTTGCTTTATTTTTCTCCTTAAGTTACCGCCAGTTAGTACAATTTTTACCTTTTCTTTTTCTCCGTCCTCTGGGACAGGAAGTACCAAGAGGATGGAGACTTTTGGTTTTGTTCACAGCTATTTCTAATACTGTCTGGGATGTGGTAGGTACTCTGTAAAATTTTTAAATTTATTTTCAGCAAAACATGACTCTGCTACACGTTCCACCTTAGCAACCAGCCAATCTCATTTATCAAGGTATCACGGACATTTTTGAACAGTAGTACAGAGATCCTACTCTTAATGACTGTAGAGTTTTCCATCATGTGGATGCTCCATGATTTATTTCCTTCTTGGTGGGGTTTAGATTTTTTTCGAATTTGACTGTTGTTAACCTATTTTTTTTTTAAAGGAAGAATAGGAAATGAGATTCGATTTTAGGGTTTTAATAAAGATAATTTTTGTTGAGCACTGCCAGTGTGCCAGGTACAGTACCCACAATATGCAGTACACACACGTGGTAAGTTGCTGTATCCTCATCATAACTGTACACAGAAGGCACTGATTACTTCACCTTCTATAGATGAGGAAACTGGGACCTCAGACAGTAAAGGAATTTTCCCAGGGCTAGGGATATAGCTCAGCAATGGAGCATTTGCCTAGCATGCGTCAGGTCCTGGGTTCAAACCCCATGGCGAGAAAAAGCCTTTGCCCAAAGTCACTCCAGTGGTTTGTGGCAGAGCTCAGAGCCTGGCATTCTGGCTAAAAAGACTATGTATGTAACCACTACATGTTAACATCTCCCAGATGGGTTCTGTCACAAAAGTTGATTTCCATTTTGTGATTAAAATTAGTGTGAAAAATACCTCAGTGATTTCTCTGAGAATGGGTGCTTGCTGTCTCTCAGATGAGATCCTGTAAACCCAAGACTTACTCCAGGTGAACCTGCTTAGAGTCCCTTTCCCTCGCCTCTCCCTTTTAGTGTCTTTGATCCCTTAGCTCCTGAGCTGAAAACTGCTGTTTGGAGAGCTCTTCCTGCAGGCCCCATCTCATTGCATTCCACCTGCCTCATCTGCCTGGTCCCGGTGGTGAGTGCTTGGTGACACTCGTTGGACTAATTGAACCTGTGGACATTTGTTAGCTCCACTTCTCTTTGTGCACCATTAATTTCATCTTCAGTAACCTTCAGGATTACTTAAAAGAACTGTCATGCTAGACAGTGTATAGAGGCTGGTAACCCGGTCAGTAAAAAGCATTTGCCTGAAGACAAGTAATACAGGGAAGATGAGAATGTATTTAGAATACCGAGCACACTGTCAAGAAGGACAGTAGGGAAGTTCCTAAGAGAGGAGTCGTTCAGTCAGGGTGAGAGGTTGTGGTTTTGTAAGCGAACGAAGAGGTGGGAAAGGGTCCGAGTTGGCCAATGGAGATACCTTAGAACTGCGTTTTCGAGGCACCCTGTTCCTTGTTAATCTTTTCGGAACACCTCTTTAAAGTTGTACATCGAAGTTGCTAATTCTCAAGGTCTCTTGAGTAGGCCTCAAAAAAGGCTCTTTAGACTTAGATAAGGGCATCCGTATGCTTTAACCTGTTTGGGAAAGATACTGCATTAGCTCTCGGGAAGAAAGGATGGCTTTAGTACTGACTTTTATCTTGTGCTATTTTTAGTCCTCATTAGTGCAGTGCATTTTGACTGTCCAGTACATGCTGGGCAGAAGTATATTTTCAAAGAAGTTTGGGTGCTGAGAATTTTAACCCTTTTGTGATCTTCAGAATGACTTTCAGTATAACACATGATTGGGGGCTGAGGGGGTAGCTCAGTGGTAGCAGCTCACCCAATATGCACAAGGCCATGAGTTCAATCCCCAGCACTGCTGGAAAAAAAGTCAATGTAACACACGATCAGTTTTTTTGTATATATTAAGAGCTCAAAATGGGCAGTAGGGACAGACCAGATTCTTTCCCCTTGCTGCCATCACAAAAAGCTGCTAATTTTGAATTAGAAGCTTTGTATCCCTGCCTAGTACACGACACAGCCACTTCCCCTGTAAGTGTGGGTGGCGCGGATTTGCCCTGCACAGAAGGGTCTGGTAGGAGTTGTTGCTGTGGTGAATAACTGCCTGCCTGCTCTGGAGTTACTCTCGGGCCTGCTGCTCCCCATGTCGGCAGAGCTCCAACAAGCCCTTTCCCTTGACAGTACAATCTGTCTTCTTTCAGGTGCTTTCTAACCTACCAGTCCTGCCAGAGCTTGATATACAGAAGGTGTTTGCTTCATGACAGCATTGCCCGGCACCCGGCTCCAGAAGGTAAGAGCTTTTCCAGGCTGCAGCCGGCATCCACGTGGTGGCCGGGGCCGGGCTCCACACTGTTGAGCATCCTGCCGGAGGGCGGAGCAGCTCCTATCCCTCTTCACAGTGCTGTCATGGAGGCAGAGCTAATTCCAGTGGTCCCTGGGCGCGTCATGTTGGACCGCATGCTGTCTTGCAGTGTGTGAGGGAAGTGGGTCTGCTTTGCCTTTCTGTAGCTGCAGACAGATAGTTCCTTCCAGGCAGTGTAAGGGCTTGTTGCAGGCGGCTGTCAGGCTATGTCTGCGTGACTGCCCTGCACAGGTGTCGTGTACAGAGGCAGTGCAGCCTGCCCTTGAGCCGCTCTTCTGGTAGCCACTGTGGCCTTCCTCTTGCTTGGCCTGCGCACTCTGCTGATGGCCCTGCTGACAAAGTGCACATCTCTGTTTCTGAGAGGACTGGCTGGAAATAAGATCATCCAGGCGGGCCAGGGTTAGAGTTTAATAGCTATGAGAATATCAAGTTTTTTGTTTTTTTAATTTTAAAATAACTTTATTATCAAACACACACACATACAAAAATTAAAACCATTCAAAGAAAAACAATGCAAGGGGAAAAAAACTACAATTATATTCAAATACAGTAGAACTCAACCAAAACAAAACTGAAAAGCACTTACATTTTTCCATATAACTTAAAAAAGCATCTTAAGCACCCACAAGACACCAGAGGATGTGCTTTGTTTCAGAAAGATCCCCCCAAACCAACATTGAACAAATAGTGGTCTGGAAAAAAACTCCAGTCAGCTAGCAGATTCCACATAAGCCAAGCTTCTCCCTAATTTAAATTTCAATACAGTCATATGACATGCGATGGAAACACAATCCAAGAAATATGTTATTAGGCCATTTCATCCATGTGTATCCTTATTTACACTTTCAGTTTCTCGCACTAGAGAAACTTCGGTATTTACACATGTGTGTCCTATTCATTTCACTTAAAAGTATGGCCTCAGTGTGGATCCATGTAACTATAAATGTCTCTAATTTGTCATTCTTTATGGCTGGGTAGTACTCCATTTTATTAAAAAACCACATTTTCTTTATCCAGTCTCCAGTTGATGGGCACTTGGGCTGTTTCCAAGTTTCAGCTATTACAAACTGTGCCACTATAAACATGGGTGCGCATATATTGCTGTGGTATGATTCTTTTAATTCTTTTGGGAAGATACCCAGCAGGGGGATAGCTGGGTCGAGTGGGACCTCTAGTCCTAGTTCTTTGAGGTATCTCCATACTGATTTCCACAGTGGTTGCACCAGTCTGCACTCCCACCAACAATGGAGTAGGATTCCTTTCTCCCTACACCCCCGCCAGCATTTGTTAGTGGATGATTTCTTTTTTTTTTTGGTACTGGGGATCGAACTCAGGACCTTGTGCTTGTGTGGCAGGCGCAGGAACCACTGAGCTAAATCCCCGGCCCTGGATGATTTCTTGATAGCAGCCATTCTTTCTGGGGTGAGGTGGAATCTTAGTGTTGTTTTCATCTGCATCTCTCGAATGACCGGTGATGTTGAACATTTTTTCATATGTTTATTTGCTGCTTTTACTTCTTTGTCTGAGAAATGTCTGTTCATTATGGATGCCCATTTTTGAATTGGGTCTTTGAATTTGGGGGGGTCTGATTTTTTTCAGTTCTTTATAGATTCTAGATAGTAGTCCTTGGTCTGAGGTACAGCTGCTGAAAGAGAATATCAAGTTTTGACCTGACCTCACACTGACCAAATAAGCTAGCTAGCTGGACACTAGCATGCCAGGGTCATACATGTTCAGGGAACCTTCATGGTCGCCATGAAAAGGGAAGGAAAAAGCGTTGCACATAAAACTGTATCCTTCATCTTTGCTCTAACCTGGCTGAAGCTCTCTAATTCTCAGGAGTTGGTTTGTTCCGGTTGTGTTCTCATTGAACTCTATTATGGAAATGGCAGTCATACAAAGAGCTAAACAGAAGAATGAAGTCAGGTATGCAGCTCACAGCCTTTGCTGCTGCCTCAGCAGCCCCTCCACTTGTCCACTTACCTTTTTGTTACTCCCTTTCTGGGGATTGAACCCAGGACCTTCACACTGAACTACATCCCCAGCCCTACCTCTCTCTCTCTCTTTCTCTCTCTGCCCCTCTCTGTCTCTCTACTTATATTTTGAGAGGGTCTCACTAAGTTGCAAAGTTGCCATCCATCCTGTAATCCCAGAGGGCTGGGGTTATAGTCGTGCACCAGCATACCCAGCTTTGTGGACTTACTGTGAAACACATTTTTGGGAACTTCTAAAACAGGCGTTGTCGTTGAGAATTGATGTAGTATTTAGGCAGGAAATCAGAAGATTGAAATTTAAAACCAAGAAAAGCAAGCCATTGGTTTTTAATTGAGTCACTTTCAACTTTGGGGAATATGAAGAACTCCTGTATCCAGAGGGAGCATTGGCGTCGAGCAGAGCATTTCACAGACTGGGGACAGAAGACGGCAGTGGGTGAACGGGGTGGGGGATGCCTGCCGTTGGCGCATTGCTAATTCTCCATGTGATAATGACATTACTTTTGCTGTCGTTCTTAAAGACCGAACTTGGGATGAATGTAGTCCATCCTTTAACTAACTGGCTCAACGTTCGCTTTGTGACCTATTCATTTATCTTACTCCCCCACTGCTCACACACTTAGCTTTGAAACCTACAAATGTCCAGCCTCGTTTCGCATGTTGGACACTGAAGCCCAGAGGAGAGAGGTGCTCTATCCAGGGACCCAGAGCTGGGCCGGGCTGGCTTCTGACACCGCAGTGCTGTGTGCAGCATGCAGTCTGTCTGCTGGCCTTTTCAGAGGCTGCTGCTTGATGCCACTTGTCTTTCCCTTGTAGATCCTGACTGGATTAAGAGGCTGCTGCAAAGCCCTTGCCCTTTCTGTGACTCTCCTGTCTTCTGAGTGTCTGTGGTGGAAGAGGGAAGGGCATGAGCTTGCTGTGGAGAACCCTGCAGCCTGAGGAGCAGGCCCCAGAGGAAGCCTGCCGTCGCCTGGGAGAGACGCTCTTGTGAACGTGAGGAGGGCCCCCCAGAGCTCAGTGCTCAAGTACCCGTGCCGTCTCCAGGGACTAAAGGATATCTTTTTCAATGACCGGATGCAGAGGGTTGGAGTCGTTTTGAGATGAACCTTAGCCCCAGCCCCTTACCCAGTGAAGAACACTTATTTTTCAAGTGTCTTGACGGAAACAGTTTGAACAAAAGGAATGTCCTATCATTTCTAGGAACATAATGGTCTCTTCTAGGGAGTTTGTATAAGGTTCAATCCTTGCTTTGGTCTGGGACTGCCTTGTGGCTCCAGAGAGCTGACATTACTTGGCACGTGGTGTTCCTTGTACCAGCAGATACTCAAAGTGTCTCAAACCATGCGTGTGCTGATGCTTTGCTCTCAGTAAATAGCTACAGATCTGTATCTCATTGGCTCTTGTTTTTCATGCATATAGAAAATGTTTTCCTGAAACTCTTTATATTTTTAAGAAGTTGAAGCCAAGGCTAAAGTCAGTTTTAAAGTATCAGATGGTCAGATGACCATTGGAAGTTAATGACTGTGACTTATTTTTCTCTCCTGTGTCATCAGATTTCCTGATTCAGCTCCTAAATGTATAAAGATGTCCAGTGCTGCAGTTCACCCTGTCATGGCCCTGCTTCAGACTTAACTGTGGTAACCTAGATATTTTGTGTATAGAAGAAAAAATGTTTTCCTTTTAGTATGAAATTGAAATTTGAGTATTTTTAATGTCACATTTTCAGGCGTCTCACTGAGTGTCCGGGAGAGTTTGCCAGGGACTTTGGAGAGAGATGGGAAGCTAGGCAGTAGTGCCCTCGAGCCTGGTGCTATCGGTGTGTATGGCTCAGGTGAACAGAGCCTGGCGACTTCTTGCCTCTGTGGAGGGCCTTCATATTTGCCACATAGGTCTTTTTCTGTGGGCTATGAAGGGGAGACATCAGACACCAGTTTTAGATTAGTCCCTCTTAAAACCTAAAGTAAGACATTCTGGAATTAGTGCTCTTGGGTGTGTGTCCTAGGGACTGGTGCTAGTTGACTGAACCGTAACGTACACCTTTTGAAATGGTATGTATTTCAGGAAGGTTGGATGGGAAATACAAAATATGAAATTTTGTACTCTGCTGGGCTCAAACTCACAGCAGTCCTCCTGTCTCAGCCTCCCTAGTACTGGGATCACAGGTGTGCGCCACCACACCTAGCTCATACTCAGTTTTCACGCTGTCTTTTTTGCCTTTATTCTGACATGATTTCCTGCTCTTACTTCGTATCCGTAGTGAAAGACATTTAGCCCTCATTTCAGACATAACGTCTTGCTGTTTGGAGACCAGTGTAAGAGAGACACGTGGGCCACAGGCCACTGTCCACACCACACTGCTGCTCCCCCACTGTTGCCGTGTCCTGGAGTTGAGCCCACAAAGCTGCTTCCAAACACTGCTCTGCAATGTCTTCTTCCTGACCAAATTGTTCTTTTATCTCCTGTCTTTATGTATTTGTTGGAGTCCTTTGCTTGTTTTCCTCATGGTGGTAGTAATTTCAAAAAAGTGTTTATCTAGACTTTATGGGTCAGCATGGTAAATTGATTTCAAGAAATGGAACCAAGCAGCATTGAAATCATGAGTGACACAGTTGAGAACCTTGTGTAGGTGAAGGCATTGTGCCTGCAGCGTTTGCACTTTACAATAAATATGACAATAGAAATTGAGATGTCAAGCACCTGTTGCATTTTTTTTTGGTATCGGGGATCGAACTCGGATCCTTGGGCTTGCGCAGCAGGCCACAAAACCACTGAGCTAAATCCCCGGCCTACCTGTTGCATTTTTAATAATCATGGGATGCTTAATTTCACTGGCTTCTTTGTTCCAAATCAGAGTCTGTAGGAGTTTGTTCTTACTGCCATTTAAAACTTACGTTACATTTTCATGTAAAGCAGTTGTGCATTTTTTAGAAAATTCAGCTATTAAGAGTAACCAGAAAGGATCTCTGAGCTTACGTTGTGTCTGTGAGAGTGAAGGTGGCAGCTGTTTTAGTGGAACTTAGGGTTAGAGAAATCCCAGCAGGGGCCGGCCCTGGGGGAGTTCTCGGGACTCTGAAATCCAGCCTCAGCCTCCAGCACCCTTTTCCCACCCAGGAGGCTCATCCAGAGGTGCGCCAGCGAGAGGAGAGTTTTGGCGAACGGCAGCTTTACAAACACCGTGCTTCTGAATTTTTCGGAGGGTCAGCGTACCCAACCTTCCCGTTGATCAGTGCGACTTGGAAAAGTGCCAGTGACTCTGGGATCTTCTCATTGCCTCTTCCAGCTGAAACTCAGCATACCCTAGGCCTTCCCAGCTTTTACCTGGCTGGTGGATTTCAAGTTGATTTCAGCTGTGACTGTAATGTCTGTTTCAGGAACGGGGGAAATACCAGAAGTGATATGGCATTTAAAGTGTGGGAACAAAGATTCCACACGGTTAGACCTTTCAGGCTACAACATTGTTGCCTTTTGAAGTCTGATATCCTGTGTGTGCCACATTTTCTCTGCCTGGGGTTAATTTGTTCCCATTATTCTAGATAAGGAATTGATAGCTTGTTATGCTTGATATTCATGCTGAAATCCTCATGTGTCCACCACCCAGACTTCAAGCAGTCTCTACCTACTATTATATCTGCCAAAACTACCAATTATTTTTCAGTGTCAGGAGTTATTAGGACCACTGGCAAAGCTCGTGGTTGAATGTGACATTTTTCTGCTTCTTCCTCTTAAGTTTTGAGAGTATTTATGTTGCAGTATGTATGTCGGACCTATTGGCAAGTTTTAACGGGTTGAAAGAATGTTAAAAGATTATGATCAAGTATTAAAATATATCTGGTTTTAATTACAGTGGTGTCAAATAAGACGAAAAAGAGATCAGTGCTTACTGGTGCTTGTTAAGAGGGATGCAGTGCTGGTTTTGTGAGTGCCTGCTCGCCTGGCAGCCACAGAGCCACTCTGGGCTGCATGAGTTGCTGCAGGTGGAGCCCAAGTCCTGTCACTGCCCATCCCCGCAGGGTCCCTGCCGCAGGATCTGCCCGCCTTTTTTTCCCATCTTGCCATTTCCATTGCTTTAGTTCCCTCGGCTTGAGGATGTGTTCAGAGCTAACATTCCTCCTTTGAAAGAAGAATGGATAAGTGCTAACATTTCTAAATGCTGCCTATGGCCATGCCATCCTGAACATGCCTGATCTCCTCCAAAGGCTAGGTCACAGAGGGGGTGTGCCTTCCTAGAAGAAACTGCTGACCATGACTGTTGTTTCTCAGGCCGACAGTGTTGGTTGTTAATAGGCCAGTGGGCTGTTTCTGGCTTCCTTTAGAGCTTTCAGTGATAATTTCCTGTCAGCGTGCAGTGACTGGCCTGATGGGTGGTGGAGTTTAGCCTGCTCCCACCCATCACCCCGCCCCTGGCAGTGTCGTTCTTCACAAGCAAAGTTGCGGTTAGAGCTCAGGCTGATACTCAGAATTGGCACAGGCAGCAGCACGCCAGACAGAGCAACAGACCTCTTTATGACGAACGGTGCACTGTCTTGAGGCTCTGCAACTCTCGGCCCTCGCTATCCAGGTTGTCAGGTGTAAAAGACGCCTCTGAAGAGTCTGTTTCTGTTTAGTTCTTGGCACAAGGATCAGTGACGCCCTTGAGCAGGTTGTCGATGTCTCCAGGCTCTCATGGGAATGAGGCTGAACTACTCTTGCTTGGAGCCAAGAAGTTTCTGAAGTTAACACCTGCTTTATGTCTGCTAACGTTGTGTCTAACTGCAGAGCGTGTGAAATGTATCCATACATGGAAGGAGCAGGCTGCCCTGCAAGAATGCAGTGTCACTCATCTCCAGACCTGTGGCATCTCCAGGCCCTGAAGCAGCACTTTTTCCTGCACTGTGACCTTGCCCCACAGCACAGGTGGAAATCATTATAAGGGTGTGGGCTTCTGCCTGCTTATAGTTTTTAAGTGGTGATGTTTCCTGAAGACTTGCTATGAAAATCAGTAAATTTATCAGAGGAATAGCTCCATAGGGAAGCCCTGTAAAGGTTCTTTTGGTGTGTGAATGTTTTCCCCGGCCTCATGGTGGGGTGCCACCTGTAGCTGGCTCCCATACTTTGTTCTCTGGACTCAGCCACCTCTGAAAAAGCCCCACCTATGACCACATGAGGCTTTGGGAGCCGTCTAGACACAGCCATAACAGGGTCCCAGTCAGTTTGTTCCGAACAGTGTACATAGTTTACCGCCAGGGTCTATCCCTATTCATTCTGGGCTTGGGAAGAATGAAGGGAAGAATCATAATGGTACAGGCTGCCTAGCTGAGACACTGTAACGGGTGGTAGAATCCGGTCTCAGAGTCTGTTATAAATCTCATGTTTATCTTTAAAAGTTCCTTACCTTGCTGTCATCAAATCCTGTTACTTTCATAAAGAAAAGATCCTGTAAAATACTCACATTGGAGACATTTTGAATTTGATCAGTTTACATTTGGCTAACAGACGGTAAGGGTTAGGGTGTGTGCTCATTTGCACGCTCTCTCGCTCTCTCTCTCTCTCTCTCTGGTACTAATGAAAAATTAAATGCAAAATGTCCTATGAATTATGTCTTTTTCAAGGCTTTGGCTCAGATCTGTACTTTGATATATGAAATGAAAGTGAGATCAAACTTGTTTATACAGAATAAGACTAGAAAAACAAGTCTGTGTTGTGTATAGTGATACATATTTTATGTTTACCCAGTGCCTGTGCTAAACTTTGTGCTTGGCTTTGAATTATATGTATGTTTACACCTGACATTTTTTGAAATAAAAAGAAAAACTTAAGGGTATGGAGAGGAGTTTTTTTTTTTCAATTTTTACCATCTAATTTGGCAGTATGTTTAAAACTTTTAGTGTTTAAATTAAAAAGTTTAATAATAATAAGATATTTTGCTTGAAACAGTGCCCATTCCAGAAAAAGTGCTTGCTTCTCTCGCTGTGTGTTCGTAGCCAGTGCTTGTTATTAGAGTGGAAGCTCCTTGGGCTGGGAACGGCTCCACCTTCATCATCCTGCAGCGCTTAACAGGCAGTGCCTCTTGCAGGGCAGGTGCCAGTGATATGCAGAGTGAGCAGCATCCTGCCCCCTGCCAAGTGTGATGGACACCGCGAGGCACCCATATGGGAGGAGCCAGGTTCTGCCTTCAGTCAGCCTGGGTTTCTGGGGTTGAACCAGATAGTGCCATGTCCTCAGTACTCTTTAACCTCCTTTTCCTGAAGATAAATATGTCAGGCCTGAGCCTGTGTGCATGCGTCGTGCGTCCATCTGTGTGCGTGCCTGTGTGTGAGTGTAGTACAGGCAATGAACAGCTCTAAGCTTTTTCTAATATTATTGCTGAGGCTTCTGGGAAGATTATAGAGAAAATGGAATGGAAATTTGGGGAAGACTTGTCAGCATTCAGGCCATGTGTCGATCTTTTTAGTTATTACTGAAGTACAAAGGAATGGTTCCTCATTTCTTTGCCTGTAAGCTGGGTGCCAGTGAGCCAGTTCACGAAAGACCATTGGCTTTCGGCTTTTTCTCCTTTCAGATTCTCAGTGGATCTGCCTCATTTGTTCATATGGTTCTAGTACAGCAGCTAGTAAAGTCGCTGTGAATATTTAGTGCCATGCAAAATGGCACTTTGTCAATGTGAAATAACCTCAAATATGCTCGTTTTGCATGCAGATACACTAGTATTGTTACTTTGGGCCACTTTTAAAATTCAAAATAAATAACAGAAGCACTTGGATGCTGTGTGTCTGTTTTGTGGGGTGCATGGTGCGTGGCTGAGCCTCCAGCCAGGGCAGAGGAGACTGGAGCTGTGTTGCAGAGGGATGGCTGGCCCACTAGCGGTAGCTGCAGGATCCCTTTGGTACTGAGTACAGAAAAATTACGAGGAAGGTAGTTAGATCTTCCTTCCTCCCCCTTCCTTCCACTGAGCTACACCCCAGCCCATACCAGCTGTTCTTTCTTGTTTTTTCTTTTTTAGTTGCCCAGGCTGGCTTCAGCCTTGCGGTCCTCAGGCCTTCGCCTCCTGAGGAGCTGGTTAGAGCTGTACACCGTTGCCCCTGGCTCCCACGTCATGTATTCTTAGCAATGTCAGCTAAATAGTATCTGGTGAGGAATGTGACACTAGAAACAAGCTGTGTTTGAACCAGCACTGAGCACTGTTTATGAAGAGCCAGAGGCTGTGTTTTGGACAGTGCAGCCTCGGTGCCTGTGTCAGGCCGGGGTTCATCTGTGCCCAGCAGAGTGGCCTCCATGTCCCACTGAATCTGTTCCTCATCCACCTGGTGCTCCCCCTGCTCAGCCCGGCTGTTCGGAACACTTGGACCCCACTGCAGGAGTGCCTGCGACACCTGCCGCCACTCAGATGGACCGTTGGTCTGCAGGGACGCTCTGCTTGTCCTGCGGTCTTACCTGAGAGGCTCCACGGCATGACACCACTTCCTTCTCGCTTCATGGGGGCAAATTGGCTTTTCCTTTGAATTCATTTCCTAAGGAACAGGCAGAGCGGACCACCCACAGTGCATCCTGGAAGCCCGGGGCCTCTCCCTTCAGGTGAGTGAAGCTCATCTGTCTGGCAGGAGCATTGGCTCCATTCTTCTACCAGTCATCATTGGAGTCACTGACTAAGAAATGTCCCCTGAATCCCAAATTCTCATCCGGTACAGCCCAGAGATGCGGCCAAGAAGGAAGAACAGGAAAAGAGAGCCCAGATGGGCCCCAGCTGCACACAAGATGAAGTTCTGAGAGATTTTGAAATAAAACATGGCAATAGTAGCAGATAGATGAGGAGGGGGCAGATGTGTGGGAAGAGGTGAGACCACTCTCCCGTGGGCCCCTGACGGGCGAAGCGACCTCTGACCACTTACAGAATAATAAAAATCTGCAGTTAAGCTCATGGGGGGCCAGTTTAAAAAATAGTCCAAAAAGATTGAAAGGAAGAAAAAAGGCAGAATAGGTTAGGGAATGGCAAGTATTAAGATGGATTTTAACCCAAATAATTTAATTACATTAAATGTAAATGAACTCATCCAAATAAAGCAGATTGACTTTTTTTAAAACTGGCTCTCAGGTAAATGTAAAAAATAGGAAAATTTTTAAGGATGGAAAAGTATACTGTGTGAGCCCGAATCAAGAGGTAGTTGATACTGCTATAATATGTAAGAAACTAGAGTATAAATGCCATTTATGTCTCCAGCCTTTGTGCTGTCATTGTCTTTATTTCCCTCGTACATGGCATTGTAAATCCAACATATGGAGTTTTCTTGAAACAGCTGCTTGTCTTAGCTCAGGCTGCTACATCAAAATACCATGGACTTCCTGGCTTAAGCAGCAGCAAGGTGTTTCTCACAGTCTGCAGGCTGGAAGTCCAAGGTCAAGGTACCTGCAGGTTGGCTTCATTCAGATTCTAGTGGCATGTAGGTGGCTGCCCTGTCGCCATGTGCTGACCTGCCCTCTGTTTTGTCGTGCGCACAGGAGAGGGAGACAGTGGACTGGTCTCTTATCTGAGAAGGGCCCTCGCCCGATTACGAGGGCTCCCCCACCCCGATGACTTTGTCTGACCCTGGTCACCTTCCAAAGGCGCCATCTCCTGATGCTATCACAGTGGACAGGAAGACCCACATGGGCCACATCACTTCCCCGTAGAGCCAGTCTCCCTCTGCGATTTCCAGGCAGCAGACTCTTGCGCTTACTGTAGTGCAGCTTGGTGGGGTCAGACTCCCTTAAGCTTTTGCTTAGCTGATGAGTGTATCTGTCACTTTTTTAAAAGACTGGCTTAGGGCTGGGGATGGAACTCAGTGGTAGAGCACTGGTCTATGTGTGAGGCTGTGGGTTCAATCCCTAGCACCACAAAAAAGAAAAAAGTGTGTATCCACTCATTTATTTCATTTTTGAGAAGAACACTTTGTATTTATCTCCACATCCTCTTTGTCTCTGGAGCTTACCAGCAGTTACTGGAGACATTTTCCACCGTCCTGACCGGGCAGCATGGCTTCTGGCCTGCGGTCTCTCGGGGAGTTCCCTCCAGCAGCAGGCAGCTTGCTCAGCCTCACCCTAGAAGTGTGGGGAAGGGAACACCCCAGGGGAACGCCTAGGGTGGGGACAAATGTCTCTGGTTTCTCAGAGCTTCCCCCAGTAACCCACTGTCCATTCACCTTTGAAAGGTTTCCTCCCTCCCTGTCTCACCTGCCTCACTTTGGGTCATTTCCCAAACAAGCCAGTTGCATCCATGCCCCTATTTCACAGTGTGCTTCGGGTGGGTGGAGACTCAGAGGTACCGAGATGGGTTTCTGGAGTTCACCAGCCAGTCAGCAGCAGGTCCCTCTGGCCGGGGTGGAGTCCTGGGCACTGCAAACGCTGGGTGCACAGCCTCATTGCCCTTCCTGATGAGGACGTGAGGTCCAGTGTGGGGACCTGTGTTAACTTTCTTTTTTTTCTTTTTGGTCCCAGGGATCACGGTGGAACCACTGAGCTAAATCCAGGCCTGTGTTAGCTTTCTGTCACTGTGATGAAATAGGCAGGGAAGGATTATTTTGGCTCAAGTTCCAGAGGTTCCAGTCCGTGGTCACTGGCTCTGTTGTTCTTAGGCCCATGGTGAGGTGGGAGCATCATGGCTGAAGGGTGTGGAGGAGGAAAGCTGCTCACCTCATGGCAGCCAGGAAGCAGAGAGAGCAGGAGAGCCAGAGGAAGTGTAGGAGGCCAAATACAGTCCCCAGGTCACCCCACGACCCTCTCCTTCAATGAGGCCCAGCTCCCGTTTCCATCACCTCGGTAACCAATAACGCCAGCAAATTATGTCCATCTGTGGGTTAATTCATTCAGTGAAGTTAGAATCCCCCTGACCCAAAAGCCCAGCAGCTGGCAACGAAGCCTTTGGCACCTGAGTTTTGGGGGCTCACTTCAAATCCAGACCAGAGTAGGACTGCTGGGTGCTCCTGAAAATACTGACTCTCAATTCCTGGAATGCCGTCCGCCAGCAGGTAGGATTCCCTCCCGCTGAGCAAGAAGAGCAGTTCCCATTACCTGGAGCCCCCTCCTCCAGGTCAGTAACAGCCAGGTGTCAGAGCGGCCAGCTGGGGAGTGGTGGTGCGGGCTCCGGCTCCTCCGGAGGTTGTTGCTGGGAGAGGCAGGACTGGCAGGAGGTGGGAGTTGAGGCTGAGGGAGGAGAACAGGGCGGGGCTGGGGGCGGTTACTGGTATGGAAGTGCCGGGTGTGGCCACTCTGTTAGGATTTGGGTCTGGAATGCGCCTTGGCCTCCTGTGTGCTGAAGTGGGCTTAGCTGACTGGCTCATGGGGGTGCAGTGCTCCTGGCTGAGTTAGGAGGTGGAGCCTGGTTGGAAGAAGTCGGTCACTGGGGCCGTGCCCTGAAAGTTTTCTGCCTTGGAGCCTGCCAACCATGGAATGAAAACATGAGCCAAAATGAGCTGTGGATGTCGGGTGTTTTGTCCCAGCCACCAGAGAGTGACTGCGACAGACTTGGCTCAGCGTGCTGGCCAGGATCCCTGCAGATTGTCCTGGGTGAAGATGGACAGCTCATGGAGGCTCAGATTGTAAGGCCACATCGGGTCAGATGGCAGGCCCACAGTGGTGCGGTGGCGGGAGGGATCTGTCCTCAGACGCGGAGCGGCGGTGATGGGAGCCCTGAGGAGCATCCCGTGCTCCTGGTGGTGGGATCCCAGGATGGCGGAGGCTAAGAGGAGCCTCTCACTGCTAATAACAAAGTGTAATTACCTCAGCTAATAGACCGTGGTGTCCCATGGCCAGGAACATGGGTGGATAGGAGGCTGTTGTTTAGCCAAAAGCAAGGGATGAGGCTGCTGGAAACCAGCCCTGGGGTCATCTCCCAGCCCTGGAGCTTGGATTTGGGGTGGATGCGCTTAGCTGTGGACCAAGCAGAGGCCCCAAAGCTGCTGCCACTGGCTGAGATGCTGACCTGGGGATGGTTAAAGCATGGGGGGCGGTGGCGTGCACGGCTTCTATTTGACTGCAGTGCCATTTTATCTCAGGTTCTTGAGCATCCTCCAATTTTGGCATCCGTAGGAGCCCTGGGTCAAATCACCCGCAGATACTGAGGATGGATGAACTCCGTGTATAAATTATTTCTTAATAAAATGCCTTTGACACACATTTAGTGGCTGGAAAGCTTGTTTTCCTGCCTTCCTGCCATACATACAATGATGCCATCTCTGCCTTCCAGGCTCTGCTTTGTGGAGAGCACAGTTACTGTGGATGAGAGCCTGGTGCTGGCACTTCCGTGACTCCTGGCGTGCAGGGCAGTGGGCTGCAGGCGCAGCGCCAGCGGAGTGTGCACCTCAGAATTCCCAGGCGGCTGCCCCAGTGGTTGCTGATAGGTGAAGTAGGTGTCGGAGTCCTCAGTCTGCTCTCTGGGCCCAGGATTTTGGGGAAAGATTCTCAAAAGGGAATGTGAGCCTGATGGGGGAAAAGATGGGCTTCAGCTCTCAGGTGCCATCACTGAAAGACAGTCCACATCAAGACCCTGTCTCCAAAACTCGAAATAGTCAAATGCACAGAACCGGAGAGTAGAATGGTGTCCGCCAGGGGCCGGGGGCCGGGGAGGAGGGGATGCAGGGCTGCTGTTCGGGGGCACCGGGCTTCAGTCGCACAAGATGAAGTAGCAGAGCTGTGTGGCATGGCACCGTGCCTGTGGTCAGCGGTGCCAGGCTGTACACTCTCAAGTCTGCGTGCAACCTTGTGTTATGAGGTGCGGTCAAAATATACCATGAATGGGCCGGGATGTGGCTCAGTGGTGCCGTGCCTGCCTGGCAAGGGCAAGGTCCTGAGTTCGATCCCCGGTACCGAAATGTACTGCAGTATGATCCGCCGCCTTCCCCAAAGCCTCAGGCAGGCAGTGACCAGCCGCCCTTGCTTCCCAGGCTGCCTTCTCGGGACAGGAGTGGATGAGCCCAGTCTGGGGCGGGTATAGGCCAGGTCTCCTGGACAGCGGCCTGGGCACAGGGTTGGTCGGAAGCACATTAGAGGCCATCGCAGGGCCCGAGACCATGGAGCTTTCCCACTCTGGGGGAGCAGGAGGAGAGGGAGAACAGCCTGAGCAGGGCCACGCCGAGTGGCACCGACAACTGGTGACGAAGCGGTTGAGCCTGAGCCGTGGAGCTGCGTTAACGATGACCACATCAGGGCCATTCGTTCTCTTGCAAGTTGGCGTTAATCAGACCTCAGTGGCTAACTTCAGGCACAGCCAGCCCATGTGAAAATGAGCAAGATGTTTGCCTCCAGCCAAGGAGAGGGTCTGCCTGGACCAGGAGCGCTGACCACCTCCCGACTGATGCTGATTGCTCTCCTCCAGGCCGCCCGCTGGGCTGCGCTCCAAGGAGAGGAGCCCAACTGGATCTGCAGATTGCGCCCTGCACGAGCCCCAGCTTGTTGCAACAGCCCTGGGGGAGCACCCCAGCCTGCCCCAGCCGTCCCTGCCCCCCAGTGTGGGGCCAGCCAGGGATCCAAGGCCGGCAGGCCTCAGGAGGCAGCTGGGGAGAGCGATGATCATGGGCAACATTTGGCCCTGGCGACTCCTCCAAGATGCAGGGGTCCTGCAGCTGCCCAGCCACACGTGTTGGGGCTGCGGGGAAGGCAGGGACCTGAAGGTGGGATGCTGTTCTCGGCCTGGGGCCAGCAGCTGCACATTGTCGTGTGGAGTTGAGGGAGAAAAAGCACATGGACCTCGCAGGAAGTGGTGAGCATTGGAGAGATTGATGAGTATCTTTTACTGAGCATTTTCTAGGTCCCTGCCCTGCCTGTTCTCCTTGTTCTATCTCACAACAGCTCTAGAAAGCAATTGATGTTTTGTTCTCATTTAACAAGGACCCAAAAGGTTTAAGTAACTTGGCTCAGGCCACGCAGCAGCAGATGAGCTCAGGCACTCAGCAAGCTCAGCCGAGCAGGGGCACAAAGAGGGCACAACTGAATAGGAGGTGGCAGGTGGAGGAGAGGGAGAGAAAGGGCCTTGTCCTGAGCCAGCACCCCTTCACACGTTCACCGAGATCACAAGGGCACGAGTGATCGTGACGCTGAGGAGTGACACCCACACTGCGCGTGCCTGGGGCTGGGCGCCAGCAGGCAGTCTCAGCCTGCGGTGCTGATGTGTGGTCTGGGCGGCAGGAGGCTCGGTGGGCGCTTCGAGCCCTGGGTGGCGGGGGAGAGCTGGAGTTTCATGGTCTGGAGAGGGGGTGGGGTGCAGGGCTGAGCTCCTGGGCAGACGGGAAGGAGCAGAAGGCTGGAAGTCTGCAGAAAGCACCCGGCCATTGGCCTGGCTGCAGCAGGCGTGGGGCTCCACTCACTGTGCCCAGGGCCGACGCAGGGCAGCCCCAGCCGGGATGGGCCCTGCCTACCATGGCAGGTGCCAGCGAGAGTTTGCCGAGGTGCTCTGGGCTGGCCCTGTTCTTCAGGCCCAGAGGCCTGGAGCTTCCTGGAGTCCTGGGGCTGGAACCACAGGCAGACAGCCAGGGCGGCACCCAGAGCACAGGGTTCGGGTCCAGCCTTGGACCCAGGTGACCTCCGACAAGACATTTTCCTCTGCAGCCTCAGTGTCCTCCGAGTCTGTGGGGTGAGCGCCCAGTACTTAGTGGTGAGGACGTCACTAAGATGAAAGGAAGTGATGTGGGGTGGGGGTGCAGAAGAGCATCTGCTGACACCAACCCGAGGTGTTACTGTCCCAAGTCCCTCCTGGGGCCTGCGAGCGTTGCACTCCCCGAGAGGACCAGCAGAAAGCATGTCTGGAGAAACAGCTAAGTCCGCCCAGAACGGCACTGTCCAATCTGGCAGCCATAAGCTGCAGGAGGGAATTTAAATTTAATGTCATGAAGAAAACTTACAAACCACCTCCTCAGTGGCACTGGCTGCATTTCAGGTGCCCAGCAGCCACCTGCAGCTGGCAGCCGCCCAATAGGACAGTGCAGGCAGGGACAGGGGCATTGCTCGGAGTTCCGCTGGATGCCAGGCTTTTTTTTTTTTGGTACTGGGGATCGAACTTGGGTCCTTGTGCTTGTGGGGCAGACAGTGGAACCACTGAGCTAAATCCCCGGCCCTGGATGCCAGGCTTTTAAAGCTGCGTCTGCTGAGTGCTTACTGCGCGTCAGGCACTGTGCTACCAGCTTTCTTTGCATTGCAGCAACGAACCCCATAGCAACTCCGTGAGGCAGCTGCGGTCATGATTCCCATTGTGTTCTGAGGGAAAACAAGCTGAAGGGCTGAGCGGCTGCCTGAGGACATGTGGTGACCACACGGTGCCAGAGCCTGCACAAACCCAGGCTGAGTCCAGAGGTCCAGCCTGCAGCTCTTCCCTGCCCTGCCACCCTCAGCTTCCTTCCTGTGCCCTAGACCCCAAAACGAGGCCACCTTCCAGCCCCTGCCCTTTCAGGACACATGAGACAGTGGCCGGCACTCTTTATTGGCTTAGTGGAGGTTTCCAGAAGGCTGGGGGCAGAGGATGAGCTTGTTTCTCCAGGGTTTGCTACCCGGTGGGGCCGTCAGAACACTTTCCTGGGCAGGGGGTTGATGATCCCGCTCTCTATGTACTCGAAGACCGTGTAGGGGTCCTGGTCCCCGTTGAGGGTAAGGGCCTGCCTGTAGAACTGCTCCAGCTCTGAGGAGTTCCTGTAGAACAGGTCTGTCTGCAGCTTCACCCGGTCTTCAGCATCCTCCGGGTTCTGCAGGAGGCGGGCCTGTATCTCCGGGGTGGGAGGCGGCTTGTACATGAGGTGGTACCTATTGGGGAGGTGGCAGGGGCCCATGACCCACAGCCACTGGCAGAGCGCAGGACATTCACTGTGCCACACCCCTGGCTGGACCAAGACATCCTTCTGTCCTTCCTCCTTGCTTGTTTTCACCCTTCCAAACATTTCTTAAGCATCTGCCATGGGTCCGGGCTTACATCTGTTCTTGCTCACGCAATGGTAAGCAAGATAGATGTTGACTCTAGGCTTACAGAACTCAAATGAGGAAGTGGACCTGGACAGCCCGGGGTAGGGGGGCATGAAGGCCACAGTACTCGGCAGGACTGTCCCCTAAAATTGAGGATGATACATCAGGTCTACACTAGAAAAACCCTGTCATTCCCTTCCTGTCTCCTGTCCCCGGGTCCCCTACTAGGAAATGTGGCCCTGCTCAGCAGAGATGGATGCTACTACTTCTCTGTGATCATTGGGCCTGGTCAGGTGGCAGAGTGGACTCAGAACTCGCCTCCGTTGACCATCAGATGTATCTGTGCAGCAGCTGCCTCGAGGACACACCTGGGCTCGAGCACAGGCCCAGCGACATGCACAGGTGACACTACCTACCCGAGGCCACATTTCACAAGCAGGGTGCAGCCGGTGACCCCAGGATGGAGCCAGACCCTCTGGCCGGCTCGCTGCTGTGGAGCCCGGAGGCTCCCACCACCAGGCGCTCGACACAAACCTTTCTCCCGTGACCGGATCCACCCTTCTCAGAGTCAGGCGCTCCAGGATGGAATCCAAGGGCACATTCAGGAAAAACACCCTGTGGGGAGAGGAGCGCATCCGCCATGTTAAGTGTGTCTTCGCTTTGTGATGCTTGACATCCAGGGCCTTGCCGACCCCAGAGAGACGCAGCCAGCTCGCTATGGCCCTGAGCAGCCCCCACCTCCTCCATGGGCTCTCGCACCCCAAGCCGGTGTCCTCTGCCTGAGCCCAGGCCGGGTGCTGGAGTCCGAGACCCCTCTGCAAGCCCAGGTCCCCGGAACCGCCGGCCAACCAGAAGCTGGTGCTCGCTGGCCCACCGGAAACCACAGGGAAGGCGGAGGGCCACGCTGCTCTGACTGCCCTGAGCTTCCCAACACCCCGAGTGGCCCTGTGCACCTGCCTCTCGGCAACCGTGGATGATAAACTCCGTTGCCCGGGGTCACTCGGTTACCCCCACAAGTTCAACCCGGGTACAGTCAAGACCAGAGCCAGCAGAGGGCCACCTGGAGGGAACCTCAACCTTGCCTCTGTCCCCCTGGCCAGGGCTGGTGTCATTCCCCACACGTGGTGGAGCCACACGCAGCCCCGTCTGTGGGCTCTGGGATGCCAAACTCAGCTCACCAGGGAGCGATGGGGACAGGAGGGCCCCTCATCTTGGGGGCAGCTCCAGGCCCCAGCACTCCTGGGGGACTTGGGAACATCACTCAGGTGAGCTTCAGGGAGACCACTGTCCTCGGAGCAGGACAGTGGGTCTCTGGAGTCATGCAGATGGGATTACGGCCTCCCCCACCATGGGCTTGCTGTGTGACCTCGGCCACTGACTGAACCTCACTCAGACTTGGGGCTCACAGTGGTCCCCAGTGTGGAAGACTTAATGAGGTAAAGCTTGAGAAGCTCCAAATGGCCACTTGACCACGCAGCCAGCTGTCCCGGGATCCTCCTCCTGGGCATCGGCAGGCTGGGTCCCCTCCCTCCCAGGGGACCTGGGCTTGGTCAGCCTCCCTCTCGTCCACAGAGAAGCCTTGGACCCCAAAGAGCAGGATTCTCGGAACCAGTGAGCTTCAATCAGGATGCAGCGGAAGTTGGAGCGCTGGCTTCCTCGGTAAGACAGGATTCAAGCAGGCGCAGGGAGGGCAAAGCCCAGTGTTTGGGCCATGGAAACTTTCTGTTTTAAATTTTTATGTTTATTAGTCCGCGTTTGCAGGACATAATGCTTCCATTCCCCGTGGGGAGTTGGTGCAAACGTACAACCCCTCTTAATTCTTTTTGTGTTCCCCCCGCCCCCCGCACCTCCTGGTCCTCTTCCCATTTGCAAAAAATCTGTCTCCCTATTTCCTATTATCTAACTTCTATTTTGCTCTTTATTTATATTTTGGGTTTCTCACGTAAGAGAAATCATGTGATATTTAAGCTTCTGTATCTGATTTATTTCACTTAGCAGTATGGTCTTGAGGTGCATCCATTATTCCTACAAATGACTTACCCTTCTTTAGAGCAGAGCCGGGCTCCACTGTGTGTAAATAGCACGTTTTCTTTATCCACTCAACTGCTGATGGGCATAGAGCCCCATTGCTTACCAAGCGTTCATTCATTTGTCCTTCGAGTCATTCATACACTTACAGAGCGCCTGCCGTGTGGTCTCCGGTATGTACCAGCTCATGTGTGGAACTTAGACACAACACTGAATAGGGTTGGCATCATTGACACTGGGGCTCTGTGACTGAGGCATGCACTTTCTGCTGGGGACCACATCAGGGACGCCAGGGTCAGTGGCAACAAACACTCCCAGGCACCCAAAGCCTTGCATTCATTTCATTTTCAAGTGAGTGACCTCGGGCCAGAAGCCCCTCCCAGGTTAGGAAAGACAGGTCAGTGAGACCCACCTCCTCTACCAGGGCAGGAGCCTTTTTAGGACAGACACTGTCCCTCCTCCAAGTCTGAACAAGAGAAGCCCCTCGCAGACATCTTGGGCTTCTCCAGACCTGTTCAGTGGGCCACACTTTGGTAGGCTCAAGGGGACACTGGTTCCCAGGGGCCCAGGACTAGCCTCAGGGGCCCAGGTGCCACCTGCTTTGGCCAAAGCAGTGACAGCTCCACCCCCAGGCAGAGTCTTGACACCCAGGAATGGGGACATAGGGAGATGGCACATAACTCCTGGAGCTCTTTTACAGTACCCTCTGCCTCCTGCCTGATATTTTTCCTCCAGGCACCATCCTAGTGATCCCTAAATACCAGGCTGGAAGGGATCTTCGATAGAATTCCCAGGGCCAATTGCAGCAGACTGTCCTGGAGCCTTTGCCATATGATGCTGATGCCCTGTTAGGGTTGTGCCTAGTTGTCCCCCCAAAAGCCTCATGCATTCCTAGGTAGGGATTTTCAGAGCTGGCTGGATCTAGGGTGTGTGATGCTGGGATTAAGGGTATCTGGTACTAACTTAGTCCACTGATTGGTTTGGCACAGTTCTGGTTGTGGATAATGGGAAGGCCCACCCTGGGGTGTGGGGGTACCACCCAAAAAGCTGGCAGCCTGGATAGAATGTAAGGGGAGAGAGGCTTGCTGCACTGCTTTGCTGCCTCCTGCCTACCTTGCCATGGACTGTTTCTCCTCAGTGATGCTCCTCTGCTATGCCACCCTGCCTTGGAACCAGCTGTGGACTTAAACCGCTAGAAACCACAAGCGAAAATAAACCTTTCCTTGCTTAAAGCAAGTTAAACTTGTGGGTGCTGAGTATTTTGTCTCAGTAACAAGAGAAGTAACCAAGACATGCCGCTTGTCCTGAGATGCCAATTTGGGAGGCCCTGGAGAGAGTCTCACAGGACACAGCCACCAGAACCTGTTGCTCTGGGTTCATACCTCTCATCAGAACACCAGTGGTTAAGACAATTTAGAGCAACAGTGTCCCCCAAAGTCTCATGTGTCCAGCGCTGTGCCTTCTGGAAGGCGACTGGATCATGGGGTGCTGACCTATCCATGGATTCATCCATGCACAAGGTCCTACAGAATGGGCTGTTAGGAGCTGAGATCTGATTGGAGGAAGAGGGTTACTGGGGCAGGACCAGGAAGCCCAGACCCTTCTCACAGGGTCCCTCTGCCTCCTGGTCACCACGAGGGAAGCTGCCTTGCTCCGGCTCACGAAACCCCATTTCCTCCCTCACACGTTCTCCATGATGACTTCCATACACAACGAGCCCCGAAATAAAACACGGAGTGCGATGTCTGCATGCTTATCCTTCACACCCCCACCAGCACCCCAGGCACAGCTGTCACCGAGGCTGGCAGGGTGCTTGAGGTGCTGATGTCAGGGGAGAGGAAGCAAGGAGGCCAGCCTGGAAATCCCTGGTGACTGGTGCTGCTTCGTTATCAAACCCCACTGAAAGATCTTTAACCCAGAGCATCAAGACTGCTGCTGTTATTCAAGGGAATGGCTGGCAAGATCAGAAGCACAGGGACACCATGCTGCTACCTGAAATGTGTCCCTGGGTGAAGCCTTGCTGCAAAGGGCTGCATTCCCCTCAGAGCCCCAGGTTCAGGGACCTGGGGGAGCCCAGGCTGCTCAGCTGACAACCTCTGCCCCATGCATGTCCCTGCCTTTCCTCTTTCTTTCTTTCTTTTTCTTTCTTTCTTTCTTTCTTTCTTTCTTTCTTTCTTGCTTGCTTGCTTGCTTGCTTGCTTGCTTGCTTGCTTGCTTTCTGAGATATACAGGGATGATTAAAAAATACAGTGAATGTTTAAAAATTTTAAAAACGCATTACGACTTATTCTGAAGAACAGTAGGATAAGTGTGTTACAAGCAAGTGGGAGGACTTTGGGAATTAATGGCAATGTGTCTTTTATTGTAACCCATCTTTTTTTTTTATTTTTTTTTATTTTTTGGTACCGGGGATCGAACTCGGGTCCTTTCGCCTGCGCAGCAGGCAGCGAAACCACTGAGCTAAATCCCTGGCCCCCATCTTTAAATTTAAACATTCCCTGTATGTTTTTATCAGTCCTCATTGATCAATTGTTTATGGCAATTTCTGTTAAATAAAAACACAACACTGCATCCTCATCCACCTTATTCATCGCATTTGGCACTGTGCGACTCCTGGCTCCTCCCCAGTCAAAATGACCCTGACAGAGAGAGGTTTTGAATCAATGCAAGGTACTGAGGCAGCCACAACAGTACAACTAAAGACCCTCAGGAAAGAGGGCTCCAGAGCTGCTTTAGAAAGTGGCAAGGACCATGGGATCAGTGTGTTCAAAGTGAGGGGGAGCACTTTGAGGGGGTTTCATGGCAATGTGTCTTCCACAATAATTTTTTAAAATTAAAAATTCACCATACTTTTGATCATACCTCATATTTTCAGTAGTACAACCAGAAAAGGGAGAGCAACACCAGTGAAGAACACAGAGCAGACACTGTAGAGTGAGCTCAGTGGTGCCTGGGCACCTGCCTTTGGGATTGTAGAATTTTGGGCTGGCCGGGCCTGGTGGGGGGTCATGAAGCTGCCTCAGGAGCCCCTAATCCTGTCACTCTAGGGGCACCTATGAGCTGTTGGCAAGCAGATCTCACGCTCCACTGCCCACTTGCTGAAGACCCACAGCGACTCGTGGGCACATGGAGGCTGGAGGAGGGGCTCGATCCATGTTCCCAAGATGCATCTCATGGGAAGACTCTGGACAGCTTATCTAGAATGCAGAGTTTGGGGATCTCCTATTCCCAGACCCATGGAAGCAAAACCTGAAGAAGAGGGGCTGAGAGGCCAATATTTGTAGCTCAGTAGCTCAAATGATCCTCATGCTCAGGTGGGTATGGTGACCATGGCTCTAACCCAGGGTCTCATCTTTGGCCACACCTGGAACTACCAGGGAGCTTTGAAAATATTAAGGTTGGGTCCTTTCCCTAGAGATTGTGGTGTGATTGGTCCAGGGTGAGGCCAGGGAATAGCGATTTTTTGTTGTTATTGTTGAGACAGACTCTCCCTATGTAGTTCAGGTTGGTCTTGAAGTCACTTTTTAGCCCAGGCTGGCCTTGAACTTATGCTGTCCTTCAGCCTCAGGCTCCCAAGTGCTGGGATT